GCATGGCTTGTCGTTACCAAACACTGACCCTAGTAGAACCCTTGGAGTGAGCTGTTATAAATCCCAAGATCAAGTGCACCATCTACATTTCCCCGGCGCCATCTCAGCCACTGAGCCCGTCTTGGTTAGTCCTGGGCTTCTATTTCCCGACTTGATTTTAAAAAACGGAAAACCGCACACGCAAAACTCACTGGCACCACGTCAGTTCTGATTCACAGTGACCTGACGGGACGGAAGACTCGCCTCGTGGGCTTCCGAGCCTATGCATCTTCTTTTACAGTTTCATTGGCTCTTAATCCACACATCACACAATTCAGTCCTTCAATCATATCAAGAAGAGTTGTACAATCATCACCACCATCAATTTGAGGACACTCCCCCACCCCCAGGGTTAAATCACTTTTAAACTGAGTTGTATAATCACCATCAGTTCTAGTGCTCCCAACCCCCTCCCACATATATTGTTTGCTTCTCCCCCCAACTCTCCATATCTCCCACCACTACCTCCCCTATAAACTCGATAAACTCACTCCTTATTTCTTTGCATCTACTCCTCCTGTGCTTCACAAACTGGAAAACCCAACAGAAACAATAAACAACAGAAACAAAAGAAAGTGGTAAGGACAAAATAATAATACAAATATATAAATAATACAAAAACAAGTATGAATAGTTAGAAAGAAAAGACCACCATCCGGATTTAAAAGGCCAGGTATTTTTGTCACGGAGCTACATAGCAAGAAACAGCCGAGCCTAGAGGAGTTTCAGGTTGGGTCAAGAGAGAGGTCAACTGACCAAGCATCAAGTTCAGTGCAGTCTAAGCACGATGACAGTGATCCCTATCTGATAGTAAGGCTGCTCCAGACCCTTGTCTGTGGCTCGTGGGGATCTGCCAGCGGCATAATCTGACTAGATGTTCTGCAGATGGTGTTGGGCCTCCGCTGTCAGCTGTAAATCTTTATGGACGTTCTCCTCTCAAGCGACTGGTGGTCCGAACTGCCAGTCTGTGGGTAGCAAGCCCAACTGGTAACCCACTCGGCCACCAACTTGCCTAATTGATCCTGGAGGA